AGGCGCCTGTGGTCCCAGCTACTTGGGAGGCTGAGGCAGGAGACTCGCTTGAGCCCAGGAGTTGAAGGTTGCTGTGAGCTGTGATGCCACAGCATTCTACCCAAGGGGACAGCTGGAGACTCTTGTCTAAAAAAAAAAAAAGCTTGGAATGGAAGTACTGTCAATATTCTTGGCATGTGAAAACCAAGTATGGGGGGGGGGTCAATTTTTCCTATACGTGGGTTCCATGGGACTTGAGTATGAGATTTTGGTATACTCAGGTGTCCTGGAACCAGTCTTCTGCATATACCAAGAGTTGACTGTATATACCCATGAAACCATGACCACAGTCAAGATCAGGGGTCCTCAAACTTTTTGAACAGGGGACCAGTTCACTGTCCCTCAGACCGTTGGAGGGCCGGGCTGCGGGCCCCAGGACAAGTTGGATGCTAAGCAGGACAGGCAGCAGTGGCAAAAACACCCAGCGGGCCAGATAAATGTCCTAGGCAGGCCACATGTGGCCCGCGGGCTGTAGTTTGAGGATGCCTGGTCAAGATAATGAACATATTCATCATCCTGAAAGGTTTCCTCTTGGTTCTTCATATTTCATCCCAACCTCCCTACAACCCCTGTGCCCAGGGAACTAGTGATCTGTTTTATGCCACTATAGGTTACCTTACATTTTCTAAAATTTTATATAAATGAAATCATATTTATATAATCATTTTTTGTCTGATTTGTTTTGCTAAGGATAAGTATTTTGAAATTCATCTATTAATATGAATTCCATACTTTATTCCTTTTTATTGCTGAGAAGTATTTTAATGTATGGATATTCTTCAATTTGTTTATTCATTAACCTGCTGGTGGAGATTTGAGTTGTTCCCAGTTTTTGACTATTACCAAAAAAAAAAAAAAAGCTCCTGTGAATAGTCATGTACAAGTCTTTGTATGAACTTATGCTTTCATTTGTCTTGGGTAAATACCTAAAATTGTAAAGTCTGGGTTATATGGTAGATGTATATTTAATTTTTCAAGAAATTGACAAATTATTTACCAAAAT